CGAAATCGTACGCCATGGAGTCTGATTTCCGGAGAATCTTCTTTGGGCTTTCTTTTGACAGTTTTGACGAGTTTAATAGTTTATTTTCAGACTTCATGCTTCTTCATTATGTCAATTTCGTACGCTAGAGCAGCAAAAAATGTAACCTGTCACTGGTGAAGTACGACAAGGAGATTTATCGATGCGTCCGCTGCGCTCGGCGGAAGTCAGAAGTACAGGAATGAGACGTGTTTAGTAGGATTTCGCTTCTATTATTCTACATCTTTCAGCTCACGTGATACTAACTGTGAAGCTGGCTTTAACCTCATTATAACGGGACGCAAGCTGAAAGTCAAAACCTTCAATGTGTTTCACAATCACCCAGTTAATCGCCTTCTTTTTGAGCGACGCCCCTTCAATCGCAGTCTGACGGACGATGAGTTCACTCCGTCCGTAGACCCTTTCCGCTACAACACCCCAACAAGCGACATTAAGCAGTTCGTCTAGGTTCGATTCGGAAAGCATATTACCAGAGATGATGTCCGCAATGTTCGTCGTAACCTGAGACCTGGCGCTGAGTGTAAGCTTATTTTGATAGTTTTTACTTCCTGCAGTAAAGTTGCATCAGGTTATCAAGTCTATGAAAGAAGACGGAGTTGCGCAAATTATTTCTGAGGAAGGCTTGTGCACACACGTATTATTCGCTCAGCATCAACAAATAGAATTTTCCACCGATTCTCGCGTGTCCTTTGTGTAGACGCTACTCAAGGCACTAACCGTATGAAGTAAGAATTGATAGCGGGCTTACTTTTTGCTTACAGCTTCAAACTATGCCAGTTTTTAATAACTGTCGGCCTGGGGTATGGCCGGCCAATATTTTATGCCTTTCTGCGTCGGGAAGATTACGCATCATTGCTTACGTTGTTCGAAGCGTTTCGGGATATCATGTGTCATGATATTCTCTTCCGCACAATGATGATGGACAAAAAGGCCGCTCAAATACGTGCGGCGCGCGCGGTTTTTTAATGCGACATTTTGTTGTTTTACTTCCACATCCGCCAGGCCATCAAGAAGCATGTTAGTGATAAATCTTCGTTACCTGCTGTAGACAAAAATTAACCGGTCGCGTTATCTGTTTCATTGCATGGCAACTTCTGACATGGAGACTGAGTAAAATCTATTTATATATGTAATATTCTTGTTTTAGATTTCAACAAGATTTGAAGCTCCTTCAAAGAACAGACCCACATTTTGTGCGCTACCTTACGTTGTACTGGTTGTACATAAAACGAGCGTGGGCGAAGCGCGCACAAGCTTTACTGGTGCATTTTGGCAATACAACGAACAACCGAGTTGAGAATGCCAACTTGCGATTGAAGAGAGTTACCCGTGCATCGAATGGCCTTGTTGCGGCCGTTCGCAAAGTCTGGGCGCATTCGGAAGCTCTCCTGAAAGCGTCCCAGATGCATGCCTCGTTTTTCTGTGACAGGCGTCAGATACTAGAAGGCAGCGCATATGTTCATCGCGTAGTTTGCCTCTTAACTACGTACGCATGCAACTTAGTGATGCGCCATTTAGCACAACCCATGTTACAAGCAGTTTACTCGGATCTTGGAGATGGAGTGGTATGTGAATAAAAATTTCTGACGCTTCCATAGTTTGAGATATCGCACCAGAGAAACCGCTTCACCATCGATTGCTCCTTGGGAACATGTACCTGTCCTTTTTATGAAACCATGTGGCTTCCGTGTGTGCATTTAATAACGGCATACAAGCAGCACGCGTATCCGACAAGTAAGCCGTTTCTGATATGTGCATCCATTTGCAGGCCAAATACCTATTTGCATCCGCTGGCTGGCGGACTACAACCTACCCACAGAGTCCATGCCGTTGCGGACGTTGAAAGTCCCCGTTACGAAACCATCTACGTCTAAAATTGCACATCTTGTACATCGTCTGAGAAGTGCTGAAGAGGTTAATCCATCCGGATTTTCGGTACTGTATCAAGAGCTATTGCGAATGACTAACGAAGTAATTGGTGATTCGTCAGACTTTCAACGTGCAAAGAAACAACCGCGTTGGCCGAAAATTATGGCGCCCACAGATTTGTGCTTCACATGCAGCAAGCCTGTTGTGATTGACGCAGTTCGCTGTGCGCACAATCGGTTACTTTACCATCGAAAGTGTTTGCGTGTGCAATCAGGAGCCCGTTGTACAATTTGTGTCAATGCTTCACAAACGGTATCTGTGCCCATGATGGCAGTGCAATGCTGTACTACCGGTAAGAAAGCAACTGTTTACCTCGATATTTAGCTGTTGGCCGTTCACCCTCACCGGATTTTACAGCTGCCTCTACCCCATCAACCTGCCCCGCTTACGAAGGTAAGAGACGCTTAGTATAACTATTTCCTGCGCAGACAGTCAGGATCGGAGATACCATACCGCCCATACCGATCCTACTCCCACCAGCCGACCCCCACCAAATACCCCACCTCTACCCCAAGAGATATCCACCAACCACCACCCCACCAACCCTACCAACCCCACCCTAACCGACCCCCACGACCCGTACCCCGACCCCAAAAAAACCCGCTGCCCCCATACGCCAACCACCTAAACCGAACCAACCTACCCGACCTCATCTTACCAACCACTCCGTACCCGCCCACTAACCCCCACACCACCACCCTACCCCCACCGCTACCCCCGATACCTGCATACCTGATACCTCCCCCCCCTACCACCGATGTCAACCTGCGACCACCAGCTAAGACTGAGCAGCTTGGGCGCAAGCACCTCTGTGACCCGCACCGACGCGCAGTGCCGCGCCGCCAACGCGCACCCCTAGAGAACCGCGCCCGCAGCCGCGCACCGACCCGCCGGCGCGCGCGCTGCGTGCTAGCCAGCCCGCCACCGACCAGCGCCACAGCCCGCGCGCGCTGCAGCGCTTTCGACCGGCCGCACGCTCCGCTAAGCCCCCGCCTGTGCCGCGATAGATTACCGACGCGACCGCTTCCCCGGCAAGTCGCGCGCTGGCCTGACCCAGGCTCAAGCCAGCAACCAGTAAATACCCCTACCAGCACAAACCGACAAACTACGTGGATCGATTCCTCCGCCGCGTATACCCATACCCCCACCAACCAACCCAACCACCGAAATTAACCAACCACACCACTACCCGTACCCTGACCAAACCCCCAGCCCTACCCATCTCACCCCTAATAAACCCCGACAACCCCTCAACGCAACCACCGCCCCCCTACTCCCCCCCCTTTACCATACCGATCCAGACCAAACCATTAACCCTTAACCACCTCCCATACCGTACCGTACCTCCGTGCAACACCCTTACCCCTTACCGAACCATACCCACCGAAGGACCGCTACCCCTCTCGAACACAGGCCCCCCGCCCCCCACCCCAACCCCAACCCCAACTACACCATAACAAACCTCCTATCCGACGACACCCTACCCAGCCTACCACCAACCACCCCTAACCAATTACCTCCACCCCCATGAACCCCCCTACCTTAAACCATCCAACCGCCGCAACCCACCAACTAACCCACCCTGCCTCTACCTCAGACCGCATCAAAATCGAAACCGACCTTACACTCAAACCCTACCGCCGTGTACCTCTACCACCCTCCCCTACCGAACCCCTAACCTACCAACACCGACCAGACCGTACCTCCTACCACCCCCACCGCTACTACCTGCCACTATCCTCACCCCCGTTGCCGAGTCCTAGTACAAGTCAACAACCCGTACCCCATTGCACGTGCACTTGGTACTGGTGATCTACTTCCTTACCTTTCATCGATAGCTTGTCGAAAAGGAGCCGTGGAGTTTCCTCAAACATGAGGGTATTGTGCAGAATACAGTGCCCAAAGTAGCTATTCGGTGCAATTTAAACTCCCATTTTCACTTCATTGTAGCGTCGACATGGATGCAGCCAGTAAAGAAAACCGCAAAGAAAAAAACTTGTTCAGATAAAAAACTCTCGTTCAATTACCCGACAGTAGACTATATGTTCGCACCACTATTACATTTTAGCCGAATGAATACGACTTTGTGTAAAGATACCTTGCATGGGACATGCGCGTCCCAGGCACGAATATAGTGAACAACGCTGAAACCCTTCTCTCGCTGCCTTCTGTTAAATACAATGCACAGTTTTTTATATCGGTTTCTCCGCTCATTGGGATTACAGCGTTTTGAACAATGAACTGCACTAGCGGCACGTTTGTTGCCAGTGTAATCGGACCCAGGTCGGTTGTATATAGGCTCTATCAGTGGCACATTTGGTGTCAACGTAATAGGACGCAGTTGGGTTGTAATTGCATACGGCTCGAAGTCTCGTGGTCGTTGTATATAGGCTCCATCAGTGGCACATTTGGTGTCAACGTAATAGGACGCAGTTGGGTTGTAATAGCATGTGGCTCAAAGTCTCGCGGTCGTTGTATATAGGCTACGTCAGTGACACATTTGGTGCCCATGTAATAGGACACAAGTGGATTGTAATAGCATACGACTCGAAGTCTCGTGGTCGGTGTATATAGGCTCCATCAGTGGCACATTTGGTGTCAACGTACTAGGACGCAGTTGGGTTGTAATAGCATGTGGCTCGAAGTCTCGTGGTCGTGGTATTTAGGCTACGTCAGTGACACATTTGGTGTCAACGTACTGGGACGCAGTTGGGTTTTAATAGCATGTGGCTCGAAGTCTCCTGGTCGTTGTATATAGGCTACGTCAGTGACACATTTGGTGCCGAAGTAATAGGACACAAGTGGGTTGTACTGGCATACGTCTCGAAGTCTCGTGGTCGTTGTATATAGGCTACGTCAGTGACAAATTTGGTGTCAACGTAATAGGACGCATTTGGGTTGTAATAGCATACGTCTCGAAGTCTCGTGGTCGTTGTATATAGGCTCCATCAGTGGCACTTTGGTGTCAACGTACTAGGACGCAGTTGCGTTGTAATAGCATGTGGCTCGAAGTCTCGTGGTCGGTGTATATAGGCTCCGTCATTGGCACATTTGGTGCCGATGTAATAAGACACAAGTGGGTTGTAATAGCATATGGTTCGAAGTCTCGTGGTCGGTGTATATAGGCTCCGTCAGTGACACATTTGGTGCCGATGTAATAAGACACAAGTGAGTTGTAATAGCATACGGCTCGAAGTCTCGTGGTCGTTTGGCCGAGAATTGGTAATTGAAAATCAAGTTAGGTTTTGGGTTTGCGGCTACTGCATTGCGTAATTGTAATTAATATGTGGCTTTCCGCTTAGTGTTAACGATATTTTTACCATGAAATTTTCGTCGCTGGTGTTCAAGCGGCGTTGGAAGATATACTGGGTGACCAAAAGGTCGTCCATAAGGTGTACATTCGCACTGCTGAGGGTCAAAAGTCTGGTCATTTAGGGAGTTACAACACTCACACGACGGCACACGCTTTCGCTGCTCGAGCTGAAGGGATGCATATTCCGTCAACGTTGCGCGCTAATCGAGTATAGACTAGTAAGTACGTACTAACACAGTGACGGATTATTCGTCACACATGGCGCGCTAAAGTCACTTGTGCCTGACCGAAAGTACGGTTAAAAAGAAGGAGATTAACGCACTAAACAGCGCCGATAATTATTTAGAGATATTAGTTAACAATAATCCATGGAACATATAAAGACATTTATCCTTATCTCCTTTTGCTTCTACGCCAGTGGCCAAAAAGCACGCTTCAGTGGAGGGCTTGCTGTACATATGTTTGGATAAATCAGCTAATTCATAGCTACAATAATGCTGCATAAGATTCCTATGATTTACAAAATCTGCGCTATTAAAGAAGCCACTTAATTATGTCTGCTATGATGAATGCACTGCTAT